GAGAGGAAAAAAAATAAATAATAAAAGGAAGGAATGAAAAAAATGAAAAATAAACTGGAAGTAACTGAGGAGGGGGCGGGGGGAGGCGTTACCCCTGCGGCGTCACCCTGACAAGATGTGTCGCACAAAGGCTGGGGGGAAGGAACGAGACATGATGGTCAGGGAGGGAGTGGGGCTGTGAGGGACCCCCCGGGACCCCCCCGGGACCCCCCCGGGACCCTCCCCGGGACCCCCCCGGGACCCCCAGCCCTCACCTTCGTAGTTGATGCAGCCGTTGCTGTCCTCGTGCCCGGCCACGAGCTGCTCCACCTCCTCCTCCGTCATCTTCTCACCTGTGGGGACATCGGTGTCACCCTGGGGCTGTGGGGGGGACGCTCCGGGGGTCCCCAGGGCTGCCTGGGCATCTCTTGAGTTTTGGGGGGTCCTCAAAGCCCCCAGATTGGTGTCACCAGGACCCCCCCTGGCAGCATCTCCGGGACCCCCAGAGCACCTGGACCCCCCCATCAGTGTCTCCAGGACCACCAAGACACTGGGACCCCCCCATTGTCACCACCTCTGGGACCCCCAAAACACCAGAGCCCCCCATTTCTATTTCTGTGCCTCCAGGATGTCCATCTCAGCACCTCTGGGACCCCTGACCCACTGGGACCCCCCCAGACCCCACTACTGTGGGGACCCCACACCCAAATCCCGAGGATCCCCCACCTCAGGGGGCTTCCAGAACCCCCCATTTCTGTGTCTCCAGGACCCCTGACCCACTGGGACCCCCCCAGACCCAAATCCCCGGGGATCCCCCACCTCAGGGGGCTTCCAGAACCCCCCATTTCTGTGTCTCCAGGACCCCTGACCTACTGGGACCCCCCCAGATCCAAATCCCCGGGACCTCCCACCTCAGGGGGCTTCCAGAACCCCCCATTTCTATTTCTGTGCCTCCAGGATGTCCATCTCAGCACCTCTGGGACCCCTGATCCACTGGGAACCCCCCAGACCCCACTCCCATGGAGACCCCACACCTCAGGGGTTTCCATTCCTGAACCCCTCTCCTTTCCCAGCAGGATCCCATTTCCCTGGTGGGAATCCCAAGGATTCCGGGCTGGGCACAGGGGACTGGGGCTCACCCAGGGTGACGAGGACGTGGCGAATCTCAGCCCCCATGACGGTGCCGTTGCCCTCCTTGTCAAAAACCCTCAGCCCCTCCACGTAGTCCTCGAAGCAGCCCTGGTCCTTGTTCTTGGCGATCGTCTGCATCATGGGCAGGAACTGCTCGAAGCTCAGCGTCTTCACGTTCATCTCTGCGGGACACGGGGGGCCGTGGGTGGGGGTCCTGGGGGTCCTGAGGGGGGTGGGGGAAGGGGGGAATCCCCCCACTCACCATCGCTCTTGGGGTTTCCCAGCACCTTCATGACCTCGGCGTTGGTTGGGTTCTGGCCCAGCGCCCGCATCACGTCCCCGCATTGGCTGTACAGGATCTTCCCATCGCCCGTGCGGTCAAAGAGCTGGAACGCCTCCT